AACTTTAAGAACATGAAGACAATAAAGAACAGTGCAGGTTTTTGAAGAAGAGAATAGGGCCAGGCACAATGGATTGCTCTTGTAATTCCAGCACTTTGGGAGGCTGAGGCGGGAGGATCCCTTGAACCCAGGAGTTCGAGACCAACCTGGGCAATACAGTGAGATGTCATTGCTACAAAAGGATCACTTGACCCCAGGAAGCAGAGGTTGCAGTGAGCCACTGCACTCCAGCCTGGGTGACAGAGGGAGATCTTGTCAGAAAAAAAAAGAATAAAGTCATTTATGTTATTTATTAATATTAATAGATAATCAATTACTATTAATCAATTAATAGTAATATTAATTAATTTTAATAATCATTTAATATTAACATTCTGGAGGCAGTGTCAATTGCCTGAAGAGGTGAGTCTATAGACAAGGTAAGTATGAGTATGGACGTGGGACTTGGGACTCAGCTGGACCTGGTAGGATTTGACAAATGACTTAGCTATAGGAGTGAGAAAAAAAAGAATCAATTAAATATGCTTCTAGAGATTTCCAAACTGAGTGACCAGGAGAATGGTGGTGTCATTATGTAATAAAAGGAGAATAGGCGAATAGCAAGTTTTGGGGGAGGAAAAAAATAAGTTCTGTTTTTAGGCATATCAAAGTGTGGACTGGAAATCCAAATGGAAAAGTTTCATATGAGGAAATACAGATTTGGGGTTCAGAAGTGAGCCAGGATGAAAGCTATGGATGAACTCAATTAATGAATATTTACTCTGACTGCCTGCTCTGCACCAGCACTAACATTTAAGCCACAGGCATAACAGTGGTAGCTACACGGATGTGCATGCCCTGAACTGGGGATAAGATCTTGGGAAACATATGTACGCATATTTAAGAGAAAAGAGGGAAAAGAACCACTGGATGAGACTAAGCTAGACTGATGAGAAATAAGAGAATAATGCACCAAGATCAAGGGAGAATTTTTAAAGGAAGCCAAAGGGAAGTAGGTGTACAAGCTATTGAAATCCTTGAGAATCTTCCTAATTCTGTAGTTCCCTTCAGAATATGGATGAAAATGTTCAAAGAAGTGTCAAGTAGGAATCAAGCTCTTCAAAAAGAAAACTGGGAACACATACAAATCTTGTAAATGTCAAGAAACCAGTGAAATCTCAAAGAAAGTGGAAAAATATGGTTCTAGCATAAAATCTGCTACTGTAACTTTCAGTGAATCATTTAAACTCTATATATCTCCAGCCACTCACACAGAAAACAGAGTTTTGTTTGTTTGTTTAAAATGAGGTTTGGGGAAAAATAACAATATGAACTTAGGAGTATAGGGAGGACTAGGAAGGATGTTTACATATACGACACAGTTTCTGCCCTGAAGTTACAAAGTCATTTTGAACTAAGAGCAAACCATACAAAGGTACTTAAACTATATGCCTTTTACTTAGAGTTCCACATGAAAGAATAAATATTGAAGAATAATACATATGCAAATAATCATTAATGCAAATCAAGTCAGCAAATGCCCTACTAATACTCTAGTTTGAGGGTTCTTCCTCGTGGACTTGAGTTGAGATCCTGAAGTTGAGATTCTCAAGATCCTCAATTCAAGGTCCTTGAGTTGAAATATTGAGCTGGGGTCACTCAAACACTGACTATATTATACATCCATTATCATAAAGCAGTTTGATTAGTTTAAATTACATGTTTTAGAAACTAGACTGAAATTCTCATTGATAAAAAATTGTTTGATAAAGTATAAGTAGTAGCAACATAAGGAAACAACCACCAAGCTGTGGTAGAGTGAGGGACTTCAAAACCCTCTGGCTGTGTAATCTTCCTAGGATGAGTTCTTGCACACTATGGGCCAAGGGCATAAACATCTTCAAGAGCTCCAACGCATGATGAGAAAGCGCCTCTCAGAAATGGTATACCAGTTTACATTCTTAAAAGCAGCTGAAAAAGTACTTGTCTCTTAACATTCTTGCCACCATTTATACTATTATTTTCAAATCCTGTTAACTTGACAGAATAAGAAAAAGTATACTGTTACTTTTGTTTCATTTAATGATTTAGACTTCTTTCTGGACATGCTTCTTACTGATTTGTAAAGTTCTTTCTATGTAAAAGAGATAGATCCTATAATCATTGCTAACACCCACAGAAGAATCACCCACACTGACCTCATGCTTCCATGCTATGTAGCATAAAACTGTGATGAACTGGCTGATGGCAAATTCAGCCTGTCTTCCTGCTGCTTGGCAAGCCTTTTTTACTTTTTGTTGATCCTCTAATCAGAATTCCAGTGGCGGGCTATTGTAAACTGCCTCTGCTTTCCCTAAACTTCAATCCAAGCCTGAATCCCCTCCCTACACAGACTTGTCAGACCATGAGCACCCAGGACAGAGAGATTCCCAGAGCCTAGAATAATAGTACCAGACACGTGAGGGGCCAAATAATTACTATGCTGGCATGGCATGGCTTAAAAGGCATGTATCTGGAACATTTGGTTTGAAACTCTAGCTCTGCACCTCATTCACTATGTGTTCCTGGGCAAATTAAGCTTCCTATGCCACATTTTACTCATAAATAGAATGGCATTTAATAGCCACCTCACAGGGTGCTATGAAGCAAGAACCAAATACAAGGCATGGCTTGTGGCTGATCATCAGTCATTGTTAGCTTACTTCCAATCCCCAAATTGGTCTGATCTTTCTCAGGGTTTGACAGCTTGAAATGGATTTATACACAGTTACATTTACTCTTTTCTTCATGCCACTGATGGGCAATGAGGGTACATTAATGGGTCTTTATGACTACAAAGTCAAGTTTCTGGCACTGAAGGATTTCCACAATTTAGCTCCATCTTACCTCTTCAAATTTATCTCATACTACTCCCCATAAAAAATGTTCCACCTAAGCCAGAGTAGACTTTTACTCGATTTTTCTGAATACACCTTGAACATTTAGATGCATATGTATCTTTCTTCCCTTCTCTACAACTCTCTTAACTATCCAAATCCTTCTCATTGTTAAGACACAGCATTATTACTATTATTTTTATTGGCTAATATTTGTTAAGTGCCTTCTGTGTGCCAGGTAGTGTTCTAAGTGTATTACATGTCACTTAATCTTCATAAGCCCGGCAAGATATTTTATCATTATCTCTACTACCAAGATAAGAATACATATTTATCTTTCTTCTCCAGACCGTACACTCTTGTATGATATGGACTATGCCTTGTACTCTTGTACTTCTTTGTACAGGCATCTACTTAAGCAGAAATTCAATGAACATGTATGGATTAATTGCCTTTTTATTCTTATTTTGTTTCTGTAAGCTGGCATAATGCTCACTTTTATTAAATGTATTGCTTTATCAAACTGTAAAGTAAAAAAGGTAACTTAAATGCAGTATATGTAGGTATTTTTAGAGACCTAAGTCCATCTACAGACATATGGTAAAGATTCTGCATGCTAAAGAACAAGAATGGCTGAAGTAGTAGGGTTTGAGTTCTTATAAATAAATCTTTGACGGCTTTTGATCATTCTTAAGGCCACAGTTAGCAACAGTGAGAAAATTCATGTAAATTGAAAATTATGAATAAGTGCACACAAATAACATTCATAAGACATGATAGTACATTTACCCTTGTTTTACATATTTCATAAGACACTGCTGTAAGGAGAGAAGAGAAACTCAGGAAGTCCTATTTCTTTACTGCTGTTGTTGTACAGGAAAAGCATAACTTTTCTTACATATAAATCAGTATCCATCGGTATCACCTTCCCATACCGGAAGAAAAAATCATTTGGGATGTCTACAAAATAAAACGTGCTTCCAGGGACTTTCTTAAATTATATGACTATGGTAAATAGTATTTATTTTTCTCCTAGATCTCTTGAGGATATAGCACAAATATTTAAATCATCTCTCTCTTATAACATATTTAGCCAAGCCCAAAGATACAAGAAAGATTTATGAGAAATCACTAAAGGAACAGCAAGTCAACCTCAAGTAATAGTCGAGATTAAATCACAAATGATGAGAACCCATGTGCTTTTAAACAAAATTAACAATTAAAAAAATTATTTTCTGATGAACTAATGAAAATAAAAATTTTTGGCTGGGCATGGTGGCTCACGCCTGTAATCCTAGCACTTTGGGAGGCCGAGGCGGGCGGATGACAAGGTCAGGAGATCGAGACCATCCTTGCTAACATGGTGAAACCCCGTTTCTACTGAAAATGCAAAAAATTAGCCGGGCGTGGTGGTGGATGCCTGTAGTCCCAGTTACTCGGGAGGCTGAGGCAGAAGAATGGCATGAGCCCACGAAGCAAAACTTGCAGTGAGCCGAGATCGCGCCACTGCACTTCAGCCTGGGCAACATAGTGAGATTCTGTCTCAAAAAAAATAAATAAAAAATAAATAAATAAAATAAAATAAAAATTTTCATGCTTGTATGTGCTATCATCTTTTTTAAAGGTTAAAGATGCTGAGGTTTTCAAATTAGCTTGCTTATGGTTAAGGCTGAAAACCAGAAAGGCTACTATGTAGATTAAACCACATGCTTAATTCATAAAGGGAAATTAAAAAAACGCTAGTGCATAGCACATTCCAGTGAAGGGGAGAAAAAAAGGTTAATCAATTCAACTCAATTTTAGCTGAGGGCATTTTTCCACGACTACTGAACCCTAGCATGTGTCAGGCAGCTAAAATTACACTAAAATGTGTAAGTTCTGTTGTTATTTTAGAGATAATCCAGGAAGCAAAACAAAGCCAAAAATTCTCTCTGCATTTTCAACATAAAATGCTTTAATTTTCAGTCAAGTGTATACTTTTTTCTGTTTTAAGACCTTTTTGTATTGTCTCCTCTTTTACCTATGTGTGAAGGTTTCCATAACAAAAAGTAAAAAAAAAAAAAAAAAGAAGAAAAAAAAATATGATTTTATATGTATTTATATGTATTTTCAAGACACTATTCACCCTTTAAAAACAATTCTTACCAGTCTCTGCTTTTGAAGCTCTTCTCTAAGAATTCTGTCTTCTGGTAAAACGTCACATAACAAAAAATAATTCTCTTGTTCTTCTGTTGAGAGATCAGGAAAACAAATCAGAAAAAAGATATTTACCAATTTTTCCCAGAAGAACTTATTTCGTAAAAATTACAGATGTGTGTGTCTATTAGGATCTCTTTGGCAAAGAATTGTTTTAGTTTTATTCGAGTTAGGCAAAATAAACACATCAATTTAATTTTATCTATCATGAAAGTAAAAGCAATTCTAATATAAGACAGTAAGATTATTCCTTTGAATTTTTATACTGTAGGGAAAAGATGGTAGCCAGGATGTACACTTACCAAATGGAGCCGTGGAATTAATTCTTATCGCACTACAAAAATCTGTGATAGGCTGTTCAGTGAACCTTTTCCTCCAATATAAAATGTACCTTAGAACAATACAAAATAAGGAATGATGAGAAGATTCAATACACTATTTGCTTTAGAATGACAGGAATCTATAAGCACATTCAATTATCCCAAAGCATCAAATCAAATGTTAACTTAAAACAGCTTTTCTAGCAGTTTTTTGTGAATACAAAGGCAGTGGAGCATTATAGAAGTATCAAATAAAGATTTAATAAAAAGGAATTACCATGTAAGGGCATGAAAACAACTAAACTTTACTATCCCCAAATTCAATAAACAGACATATAGGAAAGTTAAAATGAAATATTTTTATGTGATAATGGATTTTTCTGAAATAGCATCTAAGTTTATATGTCTTTAAAATGCAATAATGATTAAATAGGCTATGACACACACTCTGCAATAAAGAGAAAACTGAGTGGTTATCTTATATATCCAAACAACAGAGGTCAGAAGAATAATGCAATAAGAAATCAGTCTAAAATCAATATCAATATAACATAAGATAGAAAACTTCCATATGTCCACACTGAGTCTGAAATGAGGCAAATTTAGACTTTGGAAAAATAGCCCAACTTACAATTTTTGTATCTAATGAGCAGAGTTAGAAGCAGCACACCAGCTAAATTAAAAACGAAAGCCTAACACCCAGACCTACATATGTGATGAAAGAGGGAGTAAGATGACAGGATTTAACAAGTGGTTCATCTTTCCATTTATCTAACAAGATTTATATTGGCAATTGCAGTCTCATTTATTGAATGGTACCAGGAAGAGAGTGTTATTTTCATAGAGAGAAAGGAAAAGAAAAGGTTGACTCTATAGCTCCCAATTTATCAGGTCACACAACTGAGGGATAAAACAAGTAATTTACACCAAAGAACCAAAAAAAAAAAAAAAAAAAAAAAAAAAAAAAAAAAGGAAATGGGACTTATTGAAATAGATGAAGAATATGGAAAGAGTAGAAATTTGGACATTTTAAACGGCTTGACGTAGCACATCTAGGAATGTTTTCGATATAGTAGGTCCACAGTAAATGTTTTAAAGAAGTAGAGAGTTTGAAGATTCCTGTGAAGTTCTCTAAGTAGTCCCCAATTCCCAGTATTTTGTCTCCTTTTTATTATTAATTTTTTTCTTAACATTAATTTTCCAATACCATGGTGCTCTATGGAAAGGGCATTTGTGTATTAGAAGTCTGTGCTAGAGAGCGGTCTGGGAGAAAGAGAGAAACATGACATGAGCTGATATCAAATAAAAATACACTGAACGAATATAGAATATGTAAGAAAAAGAAGTCAATGAATAGTGTATAAAAATAGAATCCCATGTTTACGTTTTTCTTCTCCTGTACAACCATACTGTTAACTTTGATGGGTAAAGGGTGAACCCTTTCCTTATAAAACAGTGCTAACTTTTATTCTAAGAGATCTTAAAATGGCAATCTTAAGCTCCCATTGAGCCTTAAACCACAAATACATAAATGACGTACCCTAATCTGTGGCTAACTCACTGGCTTCCATATTAGAAATATCAGAAGAAGGCAAGTGCATATTGGATCCATCACAGCAGATAAATAGAGAAAAAGTACCTACAAAAGGCTGGGACATTATTTCCTTAGCCATCCTGGGCCAGCTTCAACACCTTGTACTCCTCAGTCTCCTACGTGGCTACTCCTAGTCTCTATCTTTCCATTCCTTACTAGTTGCTTTCCCCACCACCCCTTGGTAGAGAGGAAAAAAGGGGAAAGAGAAGACAAGAGGAGGCTTAAGAGAATAAAAATGAAATTCCTAGTCCTTTTCTTATTCCTCCCTCAGCACATTTTCCATTACAAAGTGGTGACAGGGATGAAGGAACACAGTATAACCTGTATTAGAGATGCCAGGAAGAGAAGATGGATTATTCTTCTAAACTGAAATATAGACATCTATTTTCACGATCAATCAAATGTATACATGGCAGAACCAGGTGCTAAGATAACTATCTTCAAAAGATAGGAAGGCCAAGTTCCCTCTGGAGGTTCCTTATGGCTACTGCTTGAATACACCAAGGAGAGGATCGTCAGTCCTGGTTGCCACTCCGTTGAGAACTATCTGGATGGTATCTTCTAGACAAAACGGAGAATAGTGGTCAGTCCTATATAATTAGTTTCATTTTGAGTCTAGAGCCTGTTGAAAGGCAGTGATAATTCCTTGAATACACAGACTACTTTACTTTGGAAAATGTTCACAGTCTTAGAAAAGTATCTGTGTAAACCATGTGGAACAGATGACCAGGTAAGAGCTTGGATCCTCATGAACAGACTGCTCTTTGAATTATTAAAGACTTTTTTTTTTTGAGATAAGATCTGGCTCTATTGCCCAGGCTGGAGTGCAATAGAGTGATCTCAGCTCTCTGCAACCTCTGCCTCCTGGGATCAAGACATCCTCCCAACTCAGCCTCCCCAGTAGCTGGGACTATAGGCAGGCACCACGACACCCAACTAATTTTCCTTTTTGTAGAGATGGGGTTTTGCCATGTTGCCCAGGCGAGTCTTGAACTCATGAGCACAAGCAATCTGCCCGCCTTGGCCTCCCGAAGTGCTGGGATTACAGGTGAGAGACACCGTGCCTAGCCAATGACTTTCTTTTTTCTTAATGGACAATCAATACTGTTCCTTGCTTATGTGCACAGATCTTATGCTAGAAGCAGTTTTGCTTTTTAAATTAAGACAGTGGTCAAAGTGTCATAGTTGATGTATTAATTATCACCCCAGAGGCAATGGGGAATAGAGAAGCAAGGACTTTGAATTCAAAGGTATGAATCTGAATTTAAAGTTATTTAATCTTTCTGAAACTCAGTTTATTCATGTGCAAAATAAATTGTTGATAATTAAATAGAATAATGCATGTAAAGCATACTGTCCAAAATTCTGGGTGTTTAATATATGACAATTATTACTATAAGAAAAAGTAACATATTTAAATAAGACTAAGGTAGTGAAGAATTTATGTTTATCCCACTGAAATAATGAGACACACAACAAAAACAATAACATTTTAGCAAACATTTGATGAAAAAGACAAAATAGTTATATTAATAGTGTCAGAAGGCACATATAGGTGGCTAACGTGGTAGAAGAGAAGAATGATGATAGTGACAATAATGACAATTATTAGCAGCTACTATTTAATGAGTCCTTACTTGCCCAAGGTCAATTAAAATGTTAGAATTGAGATGTGAACTTTGTCTCTCTGACTCCAAGGCCAAACTCAGTCTTCTACAACACAGTTCCTTTAGTGTCATGTCGGGACAAATCAGTACAAGAAATGCAGAAAAGGGAAGGCAGGGACAGGAAAGAGCCCCTACAATTAAAGTTGTAATAGAGACTTGAAGCATTTTTTCCCCTCAGAGACCAATGAGGTCACATAGAATGCTTTTTGACAAGGCAGAACCAGAAGTACAGAAATGAAGTCTGAAGAGAGAGAATGTTTTCCCTTTCCGAAAGGCATACTACTTAACAGCAGCCCTCAGACTGAACTGCTCCTAAATTGCTACCTAAGGGCTGAAAATTGACACCAGCTGTTTGGGGCTGTTTTGGAATTGCTTAACCAGGTAGGAAAGGGTGCAGAGAAGTTCCTCTACAGAGGTAACAGAAGCCTGATTCCAACAGTCAGTGGGTCTCAGTCTTCAAAAACTTCTATGTTTGAGTACTGTCTCTTTGATGTCTGAAGAGAAGAATCACATGGCATACTTATTTTCCATCAGAGTTTACTTCAAGGTGATATGCACAAGGGAAGAAATTACTGACATCAACTGACTTAAAATCACGGGGAGATTCTGTCTAGCAGAACCTCAGTTGCCCTCCTCAAATAGGAAGTGTTTCCCATGGGATAAAGCAGGTAATAGGTTAGTACAAGAGGAACAAAGTTGTCATTTGAGTGGTCTCTTCCTAACCAAAACTTGGGTGGACAACAACATCAGAAAAAAAAATCTGTTACAAAGTAAAATATAACCATAAACCACCATACAACTTAAACGTAAAATTAGGCATCATATCTTACTGTGGTATACTATAGACATCAACGACAACATATATTTTGACCTACGTCTAAATTTGAGTAAAGAAACATCCTAGTCATTAAACACATAATAGTGGTTTTTAAGCTTATAATTAAGAAGTGTCAATATATACGTTTCCTTTCGGATGGTATGGGCATTCAGATAAATTGTAATCAACTGAGTGATAGCATAAAGATAGCAGATCTTCAGTACATGCTTCTTGTGGCATTTTTTTCCACTCACTAGAACATATTGTTCAAATTTAAGAGATCACTTAGTACTTCTCTTCTGTATTTTTCCTACTTCTCTAGTTTACTGAAAGCTACAATTGCAGCTACTTAATATATAAAGGCCACTAAGAAATAACATGTGGTAGGAACTCTATTTGGATGAGTTATCAAAGTATTTCACACTTCATTAAAAATCCACAAAAATAATTACTAGGTCATCAGCAAATGCTTTTTTTCTTCTAAAGGAACTTCAAATCATGTCTCATGGAATTGCCTCACAAAAAATTCTGTTGCAATATCTTGCCTGCCCAGCCCCACTGCAATTGGTATGGTTATTGACATAGGCAAAAAGGTTTGAAATATGGTTGTTAATTAAGTAGCAGTGAATGTGTGGAATTTAATATAAAAAAGGGTAAGAAATAAGAGGTTAACATTTATTTTCCAGAGCAATTTTATCTACTGAATAAAGCTAGCAAATAGCTCAGTATAAATAACTATGTTAAATGGACTCAATGGAAAGATTTTTATTTTTGTTTTTATTTCTTCTGCCCCAGGAAGTTTTATTGTTATTTTGTTTCATAAATAAACAAATATAGTATGAAAACTTATAGCTTACTTCTTGCAAACCACCAGGTAAGGCCATCTCTTATAACCACTTTTATTACTTATTGTACTCAGAAGTAACAATTCCTCTTGAGTTCTGAGTGAATGTGTTCACGCCAACTGAACCTCTCATGTTCCCTCCTCCCAACCCTATACCTTATATCTTGTCTTCTAAAATTAGAAACAAGTTACATGATATTGAGAAGATTCCAACTTAATTTTGATCATAACAATCAATACTTGGATTGTTTGGGAGAGGAATTTTTAGTTTCCTTAAGTAGTAGGAGGTTATTATCTAAAGAAGACTGGATATAGTCAAAGGTATTTAAAAGCAACAGAGTTTACTCAGATATATGCCTGATCAATTAGAATTAATCACATTTTTACTTGCTGAGAGTGCAAATTTTACTTAATTAGAAGGACAGCTGACAAGGAAAATCTAGGTATCCATATTTCAAATACATGTTAATGATACGCTTTAGAAAGTACTTATATCAGATATGCATTTTTTCTTTTTAATTAAAGCATCCATTTTACTGTACATCTGCATTTAAAGCATGAATAATCCCAACACTTAATTACTGACTCCTAAGTCCCAAGACCTAGTAAATAATTCAATTTTCCTGCCCGCGTATGGATAATAGGACAATGACATTAGTAACAATGATACAAATAGACAGATTGATTAGTACAAATAGAGCTACTTAACTATGATACATATGCACAATGGAGAATACAAACTCTGATTCAGACATTCCTCACATACTTCAGTGGCAGAGGAGAAAGAAAAATCTTAAACTATTCAATTACCACTGGTAGTTAATAATATTCTTCTGCAATTCCTGAAGGAAAATTTGTGTTTATATGATAAAAGGGAATAAGAGAATAGTTTCATGGCCAGGCACGATGGCTCACACCTGTAATCCCAACACTTTGGGAGGGCGAGGTGGGTGGATTACTTGAGCCCAGGAGTTCTAGACCAGCCTGGGCAACATGGTGAAGCCATAAAAATTTAAAAACATAAAAAATTAGCCAGGGGTAGTGGTGCAGGCCTGTAGTCCTAGCTACTCAGGAGGCTGAGGTGGGAGGATTGTTTGAGCCAGGGAGGCGGAGGTTGTACTGAGCCAAGGTCGTGGCACCGCACTCCAGCCAGGACTCAAAAAGAAAAATAAAGATGTTGTATTAAAGAAAAGGTGACTAATAGAAGCCTTGGGAAAGAATAACCCATGTAGTATTTCTTTCAGTGGTTGAGTATGAATTAGAAGATCTCTACCCTAAGAAGTGTCTCAAATAAAATCAACAGATCTAACTACATATAACTGGGTTGCATATATAACAAAGCTCCCAGAATACTCCGAGAATGAAGACATACACACACATATATTTTAATTGAGAATAAAGAATAACAAATGATAATGAGGAGCAGAGAGTATGTCCTACGAAAGCATGTAAGGAATTAGTTTATTTTACCAGTCGGCAACATATATCATTCAATTAACTCTCCTCCTATCTCTGCTCCCTGATAAGGCAACACCAAAATGTATTCAAAAATAGTAGTGCTGAGTCAATATAAGGCAACATACACAGAAGGCACACAGTAAATATTAAGTATTGGTGCTAGGCAGCGGGAAGAACATAAGGACAAAGATGAAGGCTAGAGAACAGTTATCATTATCTCTGTGGGTATGCTGGCTATACCAACTTAAACCATCTTCCAAAAGTTTAGATTATGTAGAACCTTGAATGAAATTTTCTCAAGAACTACATTTTATAAATGATAATTAGGTTTTTAGATTAGCATGAATACAAACGGAAGACTCAAACAATAGTTGCGGAAAACTAAGATTTCAAATATACCTTTGGTAATAAAAATACAAATAAAATTTTGCATTTTATCTAATACTTATCAGGTACACATTATGTCTCAGGCACTAGCAGATGCTACACATACTCTTATTCTTCTTTTTCTTTCTTTCTTTTTTTTTTTTTAAGAAAGGCAGACTGCCACATGCAGCACCTCATTTGGATGTGTCTGGAATCTTGGAAGCTTGACTACCCTATGTTCTCCTACAAATGGACTTGAAAGCTTGTCTGGAGGTTCCAGCAGGGAAGCGCAGCTACTCGTATACCTTGACCAAAGACTGGTCCTCTTCTAGCAGGGATGGTTGTCCTCTTTGAGAACACAGCTTTGAGAGACATGAACACGGAGTGGTGAGGGAGGAAGAGGACAGCCACTTAGTCAGCCAGATCAGTTAAATCAACCCTAGCAATTAATGGGGTGATAGATGTCGCAGCCAGATCGCCCTCACATTCCATACTTTGTTTTATGTAATATTCAATAACCGTGAGGGCTGGTGTTACCCTCATTTTATAGATGAAAAAACCAATGCTTAAGAGTAGTTAGGCAGCTTGCAGGAAATCACAAGATTAGGAGGTGTGAAAGCCTGCACTCAACCCCAGGTTGCCTACTTTCATAGTCAGCTCTTAGTAATACAGGTTGCTGTTCTGCAAGACCTATTGTGAGAAAGAATTTGTTTGCTAGGAGTGTTTTATATGGCCTGGGAGAAACAGAGTTTAGATGCAGGGGTATTGAATGTCTGGGCTACTACAATGTTTTATGGGGAAATCAGGACAGAATACCTCAAAATGGGATGTTACCAGATACACCAAATGTAATACTTTCAGTAACTGTATAGGAAAGGTATTTCTCTTGGACAACTACTTCCAGAAATTATAAATTGGGATAAAAGGAATCAACCTCATCACAACACTTAAACTGAGATTTGTTTGGGCAATATCCTTTCGGCTTGAAAGGATCCAAGGATCCCATTCCCAAACACTGCCTTTTCAGTGTCCTGTTGCCAAGTCTATTCTGGAATTACTGGAAGGACCCACTCAGAGAATGTCTATGGCCTAAAACATGAGACATAATCTGGGAGACATCAATAAGATCTACAATGTCATGGAATGCTGCAAAGCGGGTATTACCTACTCTTTGGAAAGTTCATCTCTTTAGAGAAAATAAATTAGTGGCCGGGCGCAGTGGCTCAAGCCTGTAATCCCAGCACTTTGGGAGGCCAAGATGGGCGGATCACGAGGTCAGGAGATCGAGACCATCCTGGCTAACACGGTGAAACCCCGTCTCTACTAAAAAAAATACAAAAAAAACCCCAGCTGGGCGAGGTGGCGGACGCCTGTAGTCCCAGCTACTTGGGAGGCTGAGGCAGGAGAATGGTGTAAACCCAGGAGGCAGAGCTTGCAGTGAGCCAAGATCCGGCCACTGCACTCCAGCCTGGGCGACAGAGCGAGACTCCGTCTCAAAAAAAAAAAAAAATTAGTATGTGACATTCTCAAACTTACAGATGCAAGAAAAATAATGCAAAGATTTTTTTAAAGTCTAAGAAGTTGGCTGGGCGCAGTGGCTCATGACTGTAATCCCAGCACTGTGGGAGGCCGAGGCGGGCAGATCACCTGAGCTCAAGAGTTCGAGACAGGCCTGGCTAACATGGTGAAACTCTATCTCTACTAAAAATACAAAAATTAGCTGGGCATGGTGGCAGGTGCCTGTAATCCCAGCTACTTGGGAGGCTGAGGCAAGAGAATCATTTGAACATGGGAGGCAGAGGTTGCAATGAGCTGAGATTGTGCCACTGCACTCTGGTCTGGCTGACAACAGCGAAACTGTCTCAAAAAACAAAAACAAAAACAAAAACAAAAAAGTCTCAGAAGTACAAAAGAGTTGTAACGTTCTTTTTTAAGTGTAAGGAGAAACCTGAAAATGAATATGAATTTTCATATTTGTATAGGAATTATTTTATATATAGATTATGCCACTCCTTTAATAAACAATACATTTAATTCTCTTTCTTAAGAGACAGGGTCTCATTCTGTCACCCAGGCTGGAGCGCAATGGTATAACCATAACTCCCTGCAGCCTCGAACCCCTGGGTGCAAGCAGCCCTCCTGCCTCAACCTCCCAAGTAGCTGGAACTACAGGTGCATGCCATTGAGCCTAGCTAATTAAAAAAGTTTTTTTTAGAGCTGGCATCTTGAACTCCTGGCCTCAGGTGATCCTTCCACCTTGGCCTCCCAAAGTACTAGGATTACAGACATGAGCCACCACACTTGGTCAAATTTAATTCTTTTAAGGACAAAAACAGAACTTACCTTTGGAAATCAGCAACCAACTTGATATCAGCTATGACAATCTTATGCTCAATAATCATGTGCTTCAGAAGTTTGTCTTGTTCAGCCACAGGAAAATGTTCTTCACAGAAAATACAAGGCACAGATGGAGAACCTTCTAAAGTGGTGGTGCCACCTGGACTTTCTGGCAGGGAAAGCGGCTCCAGGATACAATCCTTACTGTCTGGAAGAGACCAAAAGAAAAAAAAAAGAAAGAAAAGCTGAAACCAACTCTTCATATGGATGATTTCCCACCTCCTGCATTAAAAACATCCTAAAGATATTTACATGTCTCCAAAAGGAAAAATACATAGTGCTAGAGAGTAGGATACTTTATTATTATTTTAAACAGCGTTTGCAGCCCAGAGGCAGGGAGTATTGCAAAGCAGCTCAAACTCCTCATTTGCTTGCTTGAATAGGGGAAACCCATTTGTCAGGGCAGCTGTTCAAGCCTTCTTCTTGGACACTGGCCAATGGCAGCAATTCCTGGGGTACTTGCAAGGGGGAAGGCTGCAACACTCTGGGTTAAGGTTGTAAGGCTCAATTGTGACCTACGGCTGAGAATCATCACACCAAGGGAAGTAAATGGTATACATTAAGGCTACAGATGATGCCAGGCCTGTCTTTTAAGCTGCTTCCCGTCGCACCTGCAAACTCTTTCCTGTTTCTTGATTATTTGTCGCAAAGAAGAACAAAGCTCTCACACTGGGTAGACACAGTATGTGCTGGGTGGCCCTCATGGCAATTTTCTGTGTTGATTTATGTTTATCATTTGCCTATTATACAAGTAGGTATTCAGGCTTCTGTGAACATAGATGACTGCTCAATCACTAGACATATGTGATGTGGTAAACATTTTTCCTGTCTACATTATGCCTCTTCCTAACATCATCTACAGTATCTTTAAGAGCTGAAGTGTGTAAAGTCTATGTCTCATTTCAGGGCCTAAAACCGCAGCCAGTTGTGACAGTAGCCCCCTTTAGTCTGCCAGAGTGGATGTCTAGACCTGTCACCTTATACAGGCTATTTAGTAGTTAGTAATCAGGAAACTGGGGTACACAAACTAGGGTAAGGCCTCTGGCATTTGCAGAAGGGCAGGCAACCTTCAGAAAGAAAAGAACTTTCTTCAGAAGGAAAGACCCAAAAACTATGCCACAGACAAGTTTTCAGAATTAGGTTAATATTAGTTCTCCCATTAAAGTTTCCTACTCTTTTCTTTATTGTCTTTTTAAAGGCATTCTTAATTTATGAATTAATTGAATCAGTCACTGGTATACTGGTGACCATGGCTTAAGAATTATGTAAGTGCGGGGGCTCACACCTGTAATCCCAGCACTTTAGGAGGCTGAGGTGGGAGGATCAAGACGTCAGGAGTTCAAGACCAGCCTGGCCAACATGGTGAAACCCCATCTCTACTAAAAATACAAAAAATTAGCCGAGTTTGGTGGCGTGTGCCTGTAATCCCAGTTACTGGGGAGGCTGAGGCAGGAGAATTGCTTGAACCTGGGAGGTAAAGGCTGCAGTGAGCCGAGATGGCGCCATTGCACTCCAACCTGGGTGACAGGGCGAGACTCCATTAAAAAAAAAAGTTTCCTATTTTTCTTACTTTATCTTCTTTTTAAAGGCATTCTTAATTAATGAATTAACTGAATCAGTCACTGGTACACTGGTGACCATGGCTTAAGAATTATGTAAGTGTGGTGGCTCACGCCTATAATCCCAGCACTTTAGGAGGCAGAGGCGGGTGGATCATGAGGTCAAGAGATCAAGACCATCCTGGCCAGCATGGTGAAACCCCGTTTCTACTAAAAAAATACAAAAATAAGCTGGGTGTGGTGGTGCACACTTGTAGTCCCAGCTACTCAGGAGGCTGAGGCAGGAGAATCGCTTGAACCCAGGAGGTGGAGGTTTCAGTGAGCAGAGATTGCGCCACTGCACGTCAGCCTGGTGACACAGCAAGACTCTGTCTCAAAAAAAAAAAAAAAAAAAAAAAAAAAAAGGGTTACATAACCAATGTAAGAGGGCAGCATTCATTCATTAACTTAACAAAAATCAACTGACTATCTACTGGGATGCTCAATGTTGTATGATATGGTCGTTGCCACCAAGGTTAAACTGCTCATAGTCTGTTTGAAGGTACAAGTAAAAAATATAAAGAGATGGAGACTGTACAGGGTTTACAGGAGCAGGGGTTGGGGGAGTCACTTAACTGAGCTGGAGAAGGAAGATGTCCCATAGAAGAGGGCTTCTAATACATCACTCAAACATACTCTAGTTACATTAAAGTATGCTAAATCAAACTGTTTATCCTTGTTCACAAAATTAATATCAGAGAAGGTGAGAACACATAGGATATACATGACAGCAGGGAGACTATTTAAAATACATAAGCCCTTTAGAAGCACTATTAACAAAACTGGTGTTATCAATTACTATATTTATTAAATTAGGTAATGAAATCAAGGAGTTCTGGAATTTCTACAGTTCTTTAGTTGTAGGTTATATTTTTTAGTAGTAGGTTCACTTTCGTAGGAATTTAAACTCAAATGTGAAAAACAGAATGGGGGAAAGAGAGATAAGTAATATACTTACGAAACTCTATGATAGTATTTTACATCCACTAGTATACAGCTACAAAAGGCAGCATATTCTAAATAAAGGTAATATTAGTAAATATTACCTGCCATGTAGGAAATAACAAGTACTATATCACATCCTTTCCACAAATTTAATTGAGATATATAGAAATTTATTGGTTTGACTGCTGAAAACAAGCCTATGGTATTTATAATCATCATCAACAGCATAACTAACATTTATCAGCTATTTGTTATTTGCAAATAACCTGCAAAGTGTGTTAGGACATTTTCCTAATTAATTCTAATTATCTTATTACCCAATCTTCCAGATGAGAGAATTAATATTTAGAAAACTTAACCAAGTTTTCAAAGTCAAAATGTTAGTCAGTAGCCTAAACATTACGAGTTCAGCCTAAACTCAAACACTATGCTATTCTGCTCCCTGTACCAAATGGCATTTCTCCAACTCTGTTTCTTCTTTAGTATGTATGTTTGGTGCTGTGAATTTATATATATACATTTATAAGCTACTTTGTATTTATATGTATTCTGCCAATGTCCTCCAGTCTCCCTGATACCCCATAGTAATTCTTATACAAATCTCAATGGTCCACATTGTCCAAAAATTGCTAGAGTACAGTTCCTCTCCATAATTTTCCTTATTTTTTCCCAAGGCTTTATTGCAATCTCTCTATTATTCTTCTGTGGTTCATCTGTTTTTCCCTTTTGTATGTCTAATGCTCAATTTCTCTTTTTTCAAATTATTCCTAAGAGAATGGACTTAAATATTCACACATACCAGAACCAAACTGCCTGTGGTTACTGCAAAGGTCTAGAAACAAAATCATGAATATGCAAATTTCATGCATGAGAAACTTGTGGTTTGGGAGGTATTAAGTTGTATTTCCCGGCTTGAGTTACTATGTAACAGAGTCTCACTCTGTTGCCCATGCTGGAGTGCAGGGGCACAATCTCAGTTCACTGCAACCTCCACCTCCCGGGTTCAAGCGATTCTCCTGCGTCAGCCTCCCAAGTAGCTGGGATTACAGGTTACTACGCCTGGCTAATTTTTGTATTTTCAGTAGAGACCAGGTTTCGCTGGCCTGGCTGGTCTCAAACTCCTGACCTTAAGTGAGCCTCCCACCTCGGTCTCCCAAAGTGCTGGGATTATAGGTGTGAGCCACTGCACCCAGCCAGAAAATAAGTTTTAATAGAACATTTTTAGATAAAAAGATTTTATAGTTTTCTGATTCCCAAATGATTTTTTGGCACCTTGCTCAAAATTATAACAGCATTGATCATACGGAGCAATTTGTTTATCTCTTCGTCTTCTTTGCCTCGCTTCAGGTTGTTAGCCCTTAGACTGCAAAGTAAGTTCTAGTTGACTTTATTTACCTGACATGTATACTGAATTAACCCGCTACCCCACTATGATTAACATAATCATTGTGTATTTATTTTGTGCCAGGCATTGTTAACAACGTCACATGTACGCTATTAACTCAACCCTCACAATAACTCTATGAAGGAGATTCCACTTCCACCCCTGTTTTACAGATGAAGGAACTGAGGGTGTGAGAGGTGAAATGACCTGCCTGCAGCTATCAAGTGATGAAGACAGAGTTTGAATCCAAGCAGTCTTGCTTACATGTCAGCACTCCTAACCAATACATAAGAGTTTAGATCTTTTCCTATAGGAAGTAAAGCCGCTTATGTTCTAAACTGATACGAGAATGGACTGGAAAGAGGCAGATCTCAATCTAGGGAGACCAGTTGGGAACTACTGCAGTGTCTAAGCCTGAGGGCTTGTCTGAGGCAGCAACAATAGCAGTGGATAGAGGAGAGAAGAGGGATAGAGGTTAAATGTACAGTTCTTGATTACTGATTGACTACAGGGAGTGAAGGAGAAGCCTCCCATGTTCCTGGCTGGGGAGACAGCACAAAATGAAGTGCCAGTCACCAGTCAAGGAATACACGTACAGAAGCAGATTTTGTTTGTCTTATGGCAGGGAAGGATAATTAATTATATTTTAAATGTAGTCACTTGATCTGTTCAGAAGTTAGATATTCCTTTTATGTCTGAAGATAAGGGCAGCACAGACTGGTGTCTTATGTGATGCATTTGTACTGTTCTGTCTGCCAGGCCCCTCTCAGGTTCTCCTGTGGGCTTGGCCCACCCCATCTCTCCATGCCCAACAACAACAAATATCTTTGTTGTAATTAATTATTTACATGTATACCTCTATTATTATGCTAGTCTGTGAACTCCTTAAGGTCAAGGACTAAGTCTTACTTATTTTCATACAGCTGGTATAGAATACAGTGACCTGGCTGGGTGTGGTGGCTCATGCCTATAATCCCAGCACTTTAGGAGGCCGAGGCAGGCAGATCACGAGGTCAGGAGTTTGAGAGCATCCTGGCTAACATGGTGAAATCCCGTCTCTACTAAAAATACAAAAATTAGCAGGACATGGTGGTGCAAGCCTGTAATCCCAGCTACTCAGGAGGCTGAGGCAGGAGAACCCAGGAGGTGGAGGTTGCAGTGAGCCGACATCATGCCATTGCACTCCAGCCTGGGTGACAGAGCAAGACTCCGTCTTGAAAG